ACTAGCTGGAGATTCCCCAAGCCTGCAGCTTCAGGTTGCAGCTGCAAATCCTGTACCTGGCTGGCGTGATTGAATATTTCCCTCAGGCTGGAGATTCCCCAGCCTGCAGCTTCAGGGTGTACCTGCGAACCCTCGGGCTCAAGCTCAGGCTCGAGACAAAGCGCTTGTTACTCTCAGTTCGGGCGGCGACTTAGGAATTTTCTCTGCATCATCATATCAGCGACACAATAGCAAACGGCGTGCATTGGTGCGAACTTAATCATAACTGTAGAACCATCATAAGACTCGGTCCTTGATTTGCCTCTGCGATGATTCATGGACTATGGTTGTGGTTTCAGCTCTTTGTTTGCTCCACAATCAGTGCTCCAGAGCGACAAAAGAAAAGCTTGGACGAAATAGCTTCAATGAAAGTTGCATCGGTCAGTCAAAAAGGTTCAAAAGCGAAGTAAGTCCAAAAGGATCAAGAAATGCTTCGTAGATCCTCCAATGTGTCGGTAAATTTGTGCGCAGTCTTGACTGTTTTCACCTTACTACCCTGAATTTAGTTGCTGTCAGAGTCTCTGGCATTCCTTGTGGCTACTCTTACTGGAAATATGGCCTAGCCTCATTCCAAAGCAATGATCTTCGCTGTAAAAACGGACTTCTTAGATAGCACCGTCTTCTTTCTATCAAATTATGCGGATTTTTTGTCCACTTCATTGTCATCGTGGAAAACTCGTGCTCCCCACCTTCTAACGCGTGAAAGCCACCGACGTCGAGTGTTCAACGCTTGGCTGCTCAGTCTTGCATTTTCGCCGGCGCAAGGTCCTCCTCGGGGCGGACGTGACATGTAGCCTGGCTGCTCAAAATCGGCGTTGACTCAGTTCAGGAATCACAAATCTAAGCATTTGTGTATACTTCAAGAAAGTCCGAGATTTTATATCATACATTTATGCCTCTGAGGAAGTTCAAGCAGATGCGTGGAGCCAGCGTCCGAGGCTATAGTCGTGATCCTGTGTCAAGCAGATTATGTGAGCTTCTTCTCATTCCATGTACACCACGATGATGGTTTTCCTATCTCGTCACTCAATGGATAGATGCGGGAATCAGAAGGACTCGAGAGATTTATTGGCTGCTTTCCTCTTCTTTGTTTAATCGCCAGAGGATCTTTGCTGAACTTAATGCAAGTCCCTCCTGCAAGTGCTCGCTGTCGACACGACCCTTCGGGCCTCTTAGCTGTATCCAGCTTCTGCTCATCAGCTTCTGCTCTGCAGGTCGGATCTGGATGCATGGCTTGGCTCGATGGTGAAGAGGAATTCCAGTTCAACGATCGGCTTAACAGGATTTCTGTGTGTCCAAATGTTTGTACTCCTCCATGCACAATGTTTCCCTGAACGAAATAATTTCTGCCTTTCTACTGCTCCTATCAAACGTGGTAACGTACGCTTTTGCATGAGCCTGAATGTGAGCTAGTGCAAGCAAGCAGCAGCCGCCGCTAAAAACCCGAGATTCTACTGAACACCGAACATAATAAGAACGAATGGCGACACGATTGGGAAGAGGCAACGGCCGCGCCGGGTCCGAGATTTCACTTTCTTCCCTCACCCCCTTAAGCTGCGCCACGTTACATCTGTCAACAATGTGGAGACTATTGCTCAAAATTTAGTTGACAGACAACTGTAATATTGCCGATAATGGCTCATTTACTTCTGAAATGGCTCCGAGACATGATTTTTTCTTGTACTCTTTGTTTACATCATTCCAAGATTAACTTTCAAGCAGCAAATATACCCAACGGAAAAACGCTAGAAAATCTAATCAGAAGGGTTGGTGTGGGCTAGCCATGATAACAATGATATATCTTGACCACACCGTATCCAAACTCACAAGAAGTGTAGGCATGGGCTCAACACCCGAAAAGCGGTCATAATAATATTTCTTGAAGCTTTGAATTATAAGGCAAGACCAAAGTCAGTTTCCACATTTCCTTGACATTTCGTTCAATCAAAGAGTATACGTACCCTCACCCCTTGTCATAGCAATCAGTTGCGCAGTCTCAAGTAAAAAATTCTACAGCATTTCAAATTCATGAGTACCTTCCCATCCTTGAATCAAAGGCCCTCGCACTGCTCCGTCGAGAATGTAAATTACTAAAATACAGTTCTTACCCTTGCACCGTCGTTAGCAGCTCTTAGAACACGACCTGGAGTTGGTACATAGCAGCGTAATGATAGTGATATAATGTTTTACAGAAATGATGGATGCCAAGATCTCCTTCTTCCCTTGCATGTCTTCCTTTATGCATCATTCGCTTACGAAGCAAAAGCCTCGTCCTCTTGCCTTTTACCATTTTCCAGTTGCATTAGCCAATTCAAATGCTTGACATAATGACTAGTGACTTATCCAATCAGTCAGACTGATGTATACCGTTACAGGTCCATATCCAAAAGAAGACGATTAGTTTACGGCATTAAACTTTGTCCTTCGTGTTCATCAGCATCGTCGTCCATAATGTCTGGATATGAATTTTCACGTGAGACCGCTGAATGTATGGGAGTATGATCGGATCGATGTTAGAGTGAAGCGAACGTGGACAATGAGATCCCTTTGGGCTGTCTTCTACTCTAAAGGGAATTGCACGAATATACATAAACATCATAAATATAAAAATGCGTGCTTCTTCGTTCTTGGCTACGTTCATGAAAATAACAAGATCTATACTAAAAAAACCTGTCAAATATTCAGTATGATTCCTACAAATAAACAGAATTTGTGGTTATCATTATAACTAGGGTTAAATCTAAATCTAACTCTAACCCAAGTTAGGTTAATGAGAATTTAACCCAAGATTAGAGTTAATAGTAACAATCTTTTCCTTAACTCATATACTGGAAATAGTAACCTCCATATCATAGTATATATGCTGAAAAAGGCCATAATCTGTGTCCATTGTGTTCTCATGCTTCTCCTAGTTTCTTTCTAAAATTTCATTCGTAATGGACATTCTTTAAGAGGTTAAGGCTACTCTTCAAGTTATTTGCTCAAGATTTCATCAACACACATCTTTCTGTTGAATTGAGTGTAATGAATATTCATTACTTCTACTTCGACAAGAAATGTATTGATAAAGTTTTGGTGTCTGGTCATACCAATTCTTCATCGAAATATATTTTTCTATTGAAGTAGGTGTAATGAAGATTTAGTCCTGGCTAAGACAAAATTGTTGGGACATTTGTTCCTATACAATTCATGGGTACTGGGGCGCTGAAGTTAAACACTTGTCTTGTCCATACGCTCGAAGTCGGCGGCTTCATATGGTACTTGAATTGATGTTTGATTTGACTTTTAATTGTCTTAGATTTACAGTGCATTCTGGTCACTAGGTATATCAGTTGTGGAGTAATAGTAAGCACTTCCTTTGCATGTAGTCCTTTGCGCATGTAGTCCTCTTGCCTTTTACCATTTCCAGTTGCATTAGCCAATTCGTATGCTTGATGTGGTGACTAGTGACGTATCCAATCAGTCAGACCGATGTATACCGTTACAGGTCCATATCCAAAAGAAGACGATTTGTTTACGGCATTAAAGTTCGTCCTTCATGTTCATCAACTTAGTCGTCCATGATGTCGGGCCCCATGGCCTGTCTGGATATGAATTTTCACGTGAGACCGCTGAATGTATGGGAGTCTGATCGGATCGAAGTTAGAGTGAAAGCGAAGGTGGAAGATGATACCGCTTTGGGCTGCCCGAGCCCAGATGCGATGGAACGAGAAGCGACCGGAGTGTAAAGGTGGACCCCAAAAGGCCTTTGCTTGGACGTTCGATGTCGGCTTCCTCGACACATATTGCGCCACGACTCTTTCCTCGTGTTGCTCACCTCAAGTCGCGATCGGCTGCCTGGCATGACGAAGCGAATGCCAGGCCAGCGAAACGCGCAGTCTGTCATGTCACACCATTTCGCTTGCCTCACCCGTTTGCACAAATTTGGTTCGAACTCCTCTAAACTCTGGCTGCTGGGATAACCCATTCCATCTAATACACAGCAGGAGGAGCGATATATTTCCAGCATATAACAGCATGGCACGATTTGCGATTGTGTGAGTCAAATACACTATCTTTCGATTCCCATAGTGCGCAAACTGTTACCGGGCGGTGGTGGCCTCTATATGTGCGCCTCGTGCTGTTGGTGGCCCAATGTATTAATCATTCTGATTGATATTTTTGCTTCTTCGAGATTCGTTTCCAATCCAACACGCATGTGATCAGGCGAGTAGTAGGTAATCAGAATGGTGCTCGGAATGTTTTGAAATATGAAGCTACTGTACATCATATTAGTCAGTACCCGCGGGAGCTCGGACCTGATGGTGCAATTCAGGGAGCCTCCTGTTGCGGATGTTCAAGAACGGAACATTGTTCGAAATAGCATCGATCGGGTCCATCATTGCATGTGGACCACAATTCATCACGCTTAGCCAAAAGCCACGATTTAGAAGTTACTGGAGCTTCGTGGGGCCTGATGCCATACGATTGAGAGAGTTGACTGACGCAAGAATGCGATTTCGAAAGAATCGTGAAGCCATGGAGAAGAGTCATGCAGTCTCTTAGATAAGAGTGAACTGAGCAGCGTAGCATCACAGCTGGAAGTTGGCGATATAATTGCTGAGATCACTCCAGCGCGCACTGTCATGTATGATCAATTTGGAATGAATGCAACTGAAAATCCGCCTGAAATCCATTCTGGCTATGGAACTGTCAGATCCACAATAATAAATCACATTCGCGCAGAAACCAGATTTAAGTAAGCATCAGCCTTCCCTTTTTAAGCGTTAGATCAAGTGACCCATTCTACTTGGCTCTATGGAGGAACTGAACTGCAACTGAGACGAACGATTAAGAATCTGAGCAGCACTTGCAATAAATCGAAGATAGCTCTCGACACCACTCTGCTCACGTTCACATATCAGATAGCTCAAAAGAAATCTTCAAAAGCGTGGACATAGACACCCGCGTGTGATATGGTGACCGAATTTCGAATTCTCTGACTTGGATAATATACAAAGTCACTCTAAAGAGCGTCACCTCTCTAAGTCAAAGATAATTTTCAGTCAGAGAAAATTTCCTCTACAACAAAATTATGCTATGATATCAGCTGCAACCAAATATGTTATTTCCACATTTTGTGAATGTCTCGATCACCGGTAGGCACTCGTGAAAGATTTATAACTTCTATCTACATGTAGATAACTAGCTACACCCTCGACCCTGAAGGATTCAACAGCTGCCGGGCAACACTGGCAAATAATGATTAAACGTTCCATCTCTCTTGTGAATGAATAGCTTTACAGGCCTAGATCGAATCCCCTATATTTACCCAATAGAATGTAGAAAATCTATGAAAAGAATCTCTACTATGGCAGTGGTTGTTCTCTCTCTCTCTCTCTCTCTGTGGAGATCTATGAGTAGCTATTATAGATTGGCTTGACCACTCAGGAATCTTGGAGCTTTAGGCCCAATGCAGGCTATCTCATATAATATTGCTATGTGCCCGGATCCTCGTCAGGCGATTTTTCACATGTTCAGATGGAAGTTCAAGCGGCTGTGCCAATGAATTCTAAAACCCTTCTCTCTTGGTGAAGCAAACCTCAAGAGCACGCTCCTTGGGGATGAAGCCGAAGACGGTCTTCTTGTCTTTAGTCCAGTCGCTAGGGAACTTGATATCATACCTCTGAGCTAAACTGCCGACTATCATGTGCGTGCAGTTCATGGCGAGTGGAGATCCAGGGCAAATTCGTCTTCCAGCACCGAACACAATGTAGCTGGGGTCTTCGCCGGCCAAACCCACTTCTTTGTTGAGAAATCTTTCAGGCTTGAGCACAAAAGGGTCGGGGAAGATCTCCGGGTTGTGAGCCATGGCCCAGACATTGATCCAGATAGAAGAGCCCTTGGGAATGTCATAACCGTCCAGCTTCGTGTCCTCCATGTTCACGTGTGGGACCAGGATAGTGAGCGTACGGTGTAGTCTGAGACACTCTTTGATGAAGGCTTGGAAGTAGGGCAGCTTCTCGACGTCCTCCAGTCTCAACTGTTTCTTCCCGATCTTCTCGTCCATCTCGGCTTGAATCTTCTTGAGGATGTCGGGACGATCAGCCAGCTCCTTGATGGCTCCTTCGATCGCCTTGGCCGTGGTTTCTTGACCTGCAGTGGAGGATCACACACTCTACCAGTCAGCACCTAAAACAAGTAATGCGCATCCCCGATAAGAACAACACTGCACATCAAACCAGCCATCAACGTAAAGCTCGTCAAAGTTGCACCCACCTGCGAAAATAACTTCGTCGAGTAGATGCATGGATCCATCGGTGCTGATTTCCCCATTCTTCTCGGAATCAGCAAGAAGGTCACAGAAGGACCACTTCTTCTCTCCGCCGTACCTGCCAATAAGAAACAGTCACAACGTAGATCTGTAAGAAACAGCCGATTGCCTTGCCTGACCACTGTCCACGAGATCTCTGTCGTGCACGTGCACCAGCCACGACGAGATGATCTTATAGCGGGTGCTCGAAACTGGCATCGCATGCGGTTTCAATGTCCGGTTATCAGACGTCGACAAACTTTGTCATAAATGCAGAACGGGAAGCGAGGCTCTTGTCCGAGACCGGGCAGAGGACACACTTGCTATGTTGTCTGCAGCGTTCCAGCTCTCTGGGAGGCCTCTGATCGTAATCACCAGGCAGCCAAAGGAGTTACAGTGTCACAGTGGCTCTAATTCTAGTCGTGACGTGCGTGCGCCAACAGACCGATACAAAACGACGGATCGTGAGAAGGTAAATATCCAGATGCCGAAGGAAAGGACGATGAATGCTGACTTACCTCGATCGGTCCTCGAGAATAGTCTTCAGAATTCTGAATTTATCGGCCATGCACTTCCTCGTCACGTATCGGCCCCAGTAGAGGTCGAAGAGGGGCTCGATGTGTGGGAAGAACCATTTCGCGAACTCGGACATGTCGAGACAGTAGAACATGATATCGTTGAGAGCATTGAGCTCCTCGCCGTATTTTTCTGCACCGGGTCCGAACATGAAGACCAGGAAGATTCGGAGGAGGAACACTCTGCAGATCAGGGTGCGGACCTCGAAAGGGTGCTCTCCGTTTCTGCTCAAGGCTCCCTTCTTGGTTTCGAGCTCGTTGTACAGCACTTGAAGGAGATCCACAATGAAGGCATCGCCGTGGATTTTTCTGTGCTGCAGCTGTCCGACAGTCATGAGCTTCCTGTTGGTCCTCCAAGTGGGGCTGTAGTGGGTAAACAAGACGCCAGTATCCTTGCCATCCTTGCCGTAGACCATGTACCTCTGCGCGAATGTTGGGGGAGATCGAGAGGCAAATGTTTGCCCTTGAGTGACCAGCACCTCCTTTGTCAGTTCGGGTGACGACACAACATAAACCTTTTGCTTGTTCACGAGCTTGAAGCTCATGACGGGCCATTTGTTTTGAGCTGCTATTTCGGCCAGCTTTTTAGGAAGAACGTCGCCAAACAGCAAATTCATGTTACCTATGAAGGGTAAAGGTTTGGGACCTGGTGGGTATCTCCTGCCATCACTCTTCCCACCGAATAATTTCATGCTGACGATCCCCAGAAGCACCAAAGCCAGAACTGGCTTCCACATATCGGGCCATGCCTGGTTCACCAAGCTGTCCTTAAGACTGTTAAACGTAGCATTCTCCATCTTGAAACCAGATCTGAACGCAGAATTCCCTCGTTCAAATCAGCCGCAGGAACTCTATAATGTGCACGGGGTGCGAAGCCCCAGTGATAGATGAATGAGTGAATGAATAAGTGGGATGTGTTATAGTACGAGCTGCCGAGGCCACACAGGTACCTCACCCTTTGAATAGGCCTGAGAGGCTGATCGACCGTCTCCAAGCTCGCTCTCAGAGAGCTGGAGGGACTGGACTGTATCTCCACCTCGGCCTCGACCTCTTTATACTTGCTCGATCGATGGAATATACCAGCTTCCAGATCATGGCTCACACAATGCGAGAGCTGAAACAGTGGCTTTCTCATGATGCTTCGCAGTGAGACCCGTCGCACAGTGCGGACAAGTCAGTCGCCGACGAAGGAAGAAGATTGGTGGATTGCTACAACACTGCTCGCTGTCCAAAGACCTGAAGACGGAAGAAGATTGGCGGAAAGCTACAACACTGCTCGCTGTGCATAGACCTGAACGCAGCTGCGCGCGAAGATGGAGGTGGAAGACCCCCCGAGCCCGATCTCGGCAGCCCATGGAAAAGCAAAATCCCGGACCTCGCATCATCAAGCCAGCATCCGGTCAATCAAACGAAGTCTTTTTTTAATGTTTTAACTTGTCCTGCGTGCCAAATTTTGCCAAATTTTGCAAAATTTTCATCACGATTTAATCCATTTCTTCTAATCGATAGATTACGTGCATATGTCCAAAGAATAACTCTACAGTTCAAGGGGATGCATCTAGAACATCCTCCATCACACGGTTAATAGAAAGAGTATGGAATATTCCGATAAGGGACTGCGAATGAGCCAGAATAGTGAAGAAAATTACACAAGTTGAGATATTGCAACTGAAATATTTGCACTTGATTTGTTTTGGGTGTACAAGACCTGGAGTTCGTGAATTGGATGAGGTTAAAATCCACTAGAATGATGAGCTAGGAAACGGTGGTTGGTGCTTCAAATGCAATCAGTTGAAAGTTTTTGGACTTGACCAGTAAGCTCGAACTGCATAGTTCGCGAATGCGCAAGCCGATATTCTTTTAGTTTGACATCGATTCACTGATGACTATTTGCCACAGTGAAGACAGAGGTGTAGGTGTGCAACAAAATCTTTGAGTCATGTCTTCCCAAAGGAGGCCTTGATGTTAAAATGTTTGATCGTAGGTGAGCAGCGGAGAATGCCAACGCGACCGGGCCTTTTGGATTGATACCAACTAAAGGGCCGAGTAAGCAAAGAATCATGTTACGTGTTTAGCGAATAATACCATACTAGAGTTGAGGTCTTACTTGAAGTCTAATAGACTTCAATAATTTATATGTTTATCATATAGAGTTAGTTTGAGTAACACGCAAGCATATCGTGTGCTCATGATGATGTTTGCCAAATCATTTATTTACTTAAAATTGAGTGTTTGGTGAATATGTGATATTTTGTACCTTTTGTAATTCTAGAAGTTTTTGTCATGAGAACTTTGGAGTTTTTGAGTTATCAAATTTTCATATCATCACTTCTCTAACGTGACCATGGTCTCGAAGCCAACTTTCAGTATGGAGTGTACTGAAATTGTGATGACAGACTCAGATTTTATGAATATTCACAAAGATAAAGAAATATGTATAATCTGAATGTGAAGTAGTTACACATTATGAAATGAATAGAATATAGTAGATTGAGAATGATGAAAAATGAAACAGAGATTGTTGCTCCACAAAAGAGAATATTAAATGAACAAGATCAGAGTTGACTTTGAATAGATGCATCACAACAAGAACTATTTGATAAAAATATGAAAATATACTACTTAATATAGTTTCGTAGCTTTTGACTCTGAAAAGATCCATGTGCTTCACAAGTTTAATTTTACGAATAGATATAAGTGTTTTTGTCTATCTAGATAAGAGAAAAAAAAATTTAACAAAAAAGTGCCAAAATCTCTTTTTTATTTATAACATCTTTTAAATTTAATTATATTGAAAGAGTGTTGTTGGAATTATTTCTTGGAACAGGCTTTGGTTAAAACCTCATAGTCTTATAAAAAAACCTTCAGGAATTAAAATTTTAAGTAAATTCTCATAAAAAATTAATTAACAACGGATTTTTTTTACTTTCAACTTTTTAAAAAAATTGGAAAAATAATCCAGAGTTATCTAATTCAATGTAGATATAAAGAATTTTTTTTTGGCAAACTTGATAGAATCATCATATGAAGAGTTTGAGTCTGTCGTGCTGATAGTTGTGAACAGGTATATACATCACAGTCATACCAAAATACGTATTTTTCATAAAAATTAAGATTAATGAACATAAAAATTTGATAAATTATATATGTATATATTTGAAGCAATTTTTGCATCAAGTTCTAACAAAATTATATTTTTTAGTATAATATCATTGATAAAATATAAAAATCACATCAAGAATCTTTTTAGCAATCAATTTGCATGGCCATTATATGTTGTATTGAAATGTCAAATTCATTAATTCAATTTCAAATATAATAAACTTAGTTTTCATGTCAAGATCATAAAATATTAATAATTCATTGGATATGGAATTATGAATTATATTTAATTTTTTATTTATAAATTTCTAATTAAAAATTATGAGAAAAATCTATTATTAACGTACTGGTTCATTCAAACATCTAACAAAGCTAAAACGAGTGAATTCTCTAAAAGTTGAAAGAAAGAAAAAAGACAATGTTACTTGTATAGAACAAAAAAAAATCGAAGATTTTTTTGATAATGTAAATATGCAGATTTGAAAATATTTCAATTTTTTTTGAAAATATATTTTTTAAAAATATAATTTTAATGATAAAAATATAATTTATAATTTTTTCTTATCAAATTTGATGACAAGCAAAATTTTGAATATCTATTTTGAGAAATATCATTCGAATAATTATTTAAAAAAGGCTAAAATATATTCAGTTTTTCAATTGCAAAACAATGTAACTGCTAAATACACGATCTGATCGTTTTCTTTATTTAAGGCAGCTTAAAATTTTTTAATATTTTTTTAAATGTACGTTGTTTAAAATAATGAGATTTTGTTGGACATCATTTTAAAATAAACTTGGAAATTTTGTCAGATTTAGTCTAAAAAAACTAATTAAATCAGACCTCTGATAGCAATCACTCTCAATATCTGATAGATATAGTAGAATTATTCATTTTATTCACGAAAAAACCCAGAAAAATCCGTTAATTTATCTCTGTATAGATTACCATATAAATAGATAAGATTAATTGGAAAAAATTCTGATCACACTCCATTCTTGGCAAAATGTTATGTTACAATATTCTGAAAATAGTCCTGGCCTTAAGAGACTTGGCACTCTTTTATATATATACTGTACACACACACGTACGAGCTGTAGGAACCGTATGGCCAAGGTGGCTGTCGCTCGTTAGCTATCCTGGGTCTAATTTGGCTCCAGTTTTCAACGTCAACTGGCTGTCATGATATCCGTCGTGATATTAGAGCTTCTCTAACTGAACGTGTACAGAAGACGCACCTTACCTTCATACACAATGTCGTACTTTTATCCATACGTCCAGCAGAGCCTATCGCATACATCGAAATGCCACAACAATGTTATCTAGTGAAGGGTGTTCATTCTCGTACTTTGATCTTACGATTTTCTGTCGTACAATAGTTTTGTGTCGTTTTTTTGCGACAATGATGGATTTCAAATATTTGTTTTGTCAGATATACCCACGTACTCATGTGATCCATGGCAAATTGGTCGGAAACAGATCCCGAAATAATTCTCGGCCTTTGTCCTCAAAATGATTTCGTTTCATCTGCGTTCATCTTTTGTGTCTGGAATCATCAACATTCAAAGTCGTCTTTTGGTTTTAGAAGCGCAAGGCTGGCGTCGATGGTGCTGTCAAATGCCCAAGACATGCCATCAGATATACCAAAAGTAATGCAAGATAATGAAGAAAAACTCTGAAAAGTACGCATTTTATGCGAATGGGCCGAAGGTCACCTTTCTTGCGTTCTCTCGCAAGAGAGGAATAATCTTCAGATGAACTCGGCCGGTCAAAAAAAGAGTACGGTGCTTTTTCTTCAGACGTACACATATGACGAGATGCAGACTAGCCCCGCAATTGTCAACGTTGCAGACACATGAGAACTCTCTCGCAAATTTTAAATTGCATGCAGTTGAAATTTTGCGTGACAACAGAAGAACACGAATGCGAATGGGAACGAGCCGAGGTATTTCATACCTGATGCCATGCATAGCCGCAGAGCATACGGAACTTTGACGACCGAGCCGCCGACTACAATCGACACGCCAACATGGTTACAGGTGACCGAATGTTTTAAGCCTCTCATAAGGATTACTTTGTAGGAGCCTTTTATTACCAAATATGATTATCAACCGATGCGTCCTCGAGCAAACTATGCTAACTCCGTTTGGTATGGGCACACTACACCCTACGGGCGCACACAATAATGTAATAAGATCATATTATCTATTTGTATCCATCTGTATCATGGGGACACCTTGACTCCCTACAGTGGAAGGGCACGCCTCCCCGTTCGCAGTCATATAACAGAAAATTCCGTTCCAAACCAAAAAAGAAGAAGATCCATATTAAGAGCTGCACGATCTACTCTATATATTTTTTGACACCTTGAGTTGTTATTTGGATAACAAAACGCTCAGTGAAATCGTTGATGTATGTAACGCATTGATGATAGACACGCAGGTATCGCGTTGAAGACGTTATCAACATGGAGCCCCCTTATCAAACAATGTGAAGGTGCAATCGTGCTTTTCAGACGATATGAATAATGATAACCATTTCTACACAATCATTGCTGCTTGCTATACTTTTGATGTGCCTTCACACGTCAAGGTTGTGGATATGGATCCAAAATATCTGGTAATAATCGTGGAAAATATTTTCTTACTCGGAAGGAAGCCTGAAAAGAGTGTGTAGAGAGAGAGAGTAAATATTCCTTACTCATCTCTATAAGCAAATCATGTGCGTCTTGGTTTCTATTATGAATATAAAAAAGTGACAATAGTTTATTATCCGGCAATAATTTACTCAATATCACGTAGAGATTGACCGATGGTATCAGATAAAGCAGTCGAAGAACGAATCGGAAGCTCACAAGACGACACGTGTCAGGAGCGGGTCAGGTTCGAGTAAAAGCGGAGGCGGACCTAATGCGACCCACTCGTTCGGAAAGTGCCTTACCCGAAGGACTTTCGTGGCCGTGTACTGGAGATTAGGGCACAGCTCCAGTAATTGTTGACGCACGGACGGAGAGAACCGGCAGTCGCGCGAAGACATCCACCCGTGATCCTCCCCGCGATGCTAGGACGCGGGGCGT